AATAAGACCTAATCCCATCAGAAAAGGTGATGGACGCTTTTGGTTTACAAAACTTTTGGGAGGGTCCTGCGAAAAGCATATAGGACATGACCTTACGAGCTAGTACTTTATAAAATATACTTACCGGATTTACAGGCTACTTTTTATGTTGAAACTAACTTCTGAAAACACATTCAAACTCACAAGGCAAGCAACAAAATACACACACCTAACCACACAATGTGGTTTTTTCCATGTGTAATTCTAAAGACTGGTCATGAAGGGGATATGTTTACCTTAATATAGGGCAGGGGAGAAGAGGAGGGGAGATCTAGACCGGTTGGCTGTGAGCGAGCATTGTAGCAACTAGAGCCGCCTATGCGCGCACTAGCTCTCGAGCCACACAACTCACACACACACAGTTCATACAGCTCTCACTCAACACACACACACACAAACACGGGGGCATGTCAAAACAACACACACACACACACACACAAACACACACACACACACACACACAGTCACAACACACCACCACACACACACACACAACACACACACAGCACACACACACACACACACACACACACACACACACACACACACACACACACACACACCACACACAACACACAACACACACACACAGCACCACACACACACCAGCACAAACACACACACACACACAGAAGCAGGAGACAGCAGCACAAACAGGAAACCTGGAGTAGCACTGCTCTGGTTATAAACAAATCCACCACACCATTCAATGTATTAAAGTGAAGCTGAATAAGATTTTTTGCTGAAATCGAGAAATCAATCTGTATTTGTGAAAGGAATTCTGTGTTCATAAGAAGCCAGCAAGTGGAAATAATGTGGCATCATAGCAGTTTGAATCTACTTAAAAAGGTGCTCCAATGTCATTTGTTCCCATACTTTCACATTTTCCATATGGTGCTTAAAGAGAGGGCGCACAAATTGTGGGTCGTAAAAAAAAAGAAGCTTTCTCAGCTTTTAAACTTGACGCTGAATGTTGCTAATGCAATGGGAACTTAGGGTAATGCTCAGTTAATGAGTGATTACAGTGTCTGATGACTTTGTAGGACACAAACAGTCTCCTGCATCAACACAAAAGACTTGAAGGCATTACAGTGTAATAATGCAAGAGGTCACTCACTCTCCTTCTGAGTGGAGTCACTCAATCAAAAGGGAATTGTGTTTGAGCCATAAACACAATTAGAGAGGACAAGTCTTTCCTCACCCGCCCCTCCTCTCCCAATCCTGCTTCTACCAGGAGTCAGACAGACAGCCGTCATCTCACAGCTCCCACTAAACCACAGGGAACATATTTCTCACAGACAGCGAGGCAGAGGGGAACAAAGTGACGATAAAGTGGAACTGGAGATGCTGCCAGTCACCAGACTGTCATTAGCGGCTTCCCTCTGGCCCCAACCGTGAAGACCTGACCGAGGGGAACCGACTCTGACACCGAACCACTCATCCCATGTGGCCTCAGGAGCCTGCAGGCTTTGGACTGTAATTGCGAGAATCTATACACGTAAACACATAAACAACTGTCCTCTCTCGTGACCACAGCGAGGCGTCGGCCATCTGGATTCCTCTGAAGCCTCAACTCCACCAGAAAAGAACAACAATGAGGCTGAGGCACACACCTCCTCCAACCATCAAGTCACACAGCTGAGGTCGTCTGGAGATTGACGTTTTTTTAAATGCTCGAGTTTTAAATGAAAGTCAGATCCTTGGCTACATTGGTATGGTCAAACCGTTTGAGGGTCTTCTGGGTGCCCACGTGGGAGAGAGGAAGAAACCTGGCGGCTCTTTTTCCATTACTGCAGCCTGAGGAACCACACACTCGGCTTACCTCCAGTAACTGAAATACAGTAGCTGGAATGAAGTAGCAATCATCTCAGTATCACACACACACGCACTCATCTGGAGTGAGGGAACCCACACAAAAAACTCAGCCCAGTGCCTAAAAGCCATTTCTACTTACTGCACATCATCACATGCCAATCTAAGCCGGCTCTCTGGTGTTTTCTTTCTAAATGGATCAACTGTACTTTATTTCTCTGAGCCCAACTCATCTCAAAAGTCAGATAAAACCTCTCGAATGCAAACACTAGTCCAGTTTAAGACCGTTAAACAACTCTTTCCTCAGGTCTCTTCTTGCAACACGTTTATGATTAGATCAGAGAGCAAACAGAACTGTCTGGAGCTGCAACACCCGCCTACCTGTGCTCTCCCAACACACCTAGATAAGATGGAAACCTGTAGCCTCAGAGACACTGCATACAGCGTTAAATGACAAAAATAATTATAGTTTTTAAAATGTAAGATTTGTCCTTAACTTGAATCCCAATATGTCCATGACCCAGTTTCATCTCATGCATTGTTAAGGTGTCATGTAAAGCCTAAGAGATAAACTGTCAACCTAAGTGATTAGAAATGATCTAACTCTGCAATAAAACGTTATGTACACAAACCTGAAAGGTAAACAGAGAGGCAGGTACGTCCCATTCTCCAGTCAGAAAGAAACAAATGCAGGTTGAGGAAGAAAGATGATTAAAAGTTAAAGGAAGTCTGGTTGGTCTGTGACAAGCGACAGCAGAGAAAATCTGAATGACATTTACCTTTTCCTCTCTGACCCGACTGCCTCTCTCTCTCTTTCTCTCCCTCTCTCTCTCTCTCTCTCTCTCTCTCAGCAGAAACCCTCTTGGAGTCAGGACGTCCGCTACTCTGACGCTCTACTCCCTCAGCCACATCATACACACGCACACAAACACGCACACCACCACTCACACACACACCACCACTCACACACACACACACATAGTACCAACAAGCCACTCCCTTGACTTCCCCTCTCTCCCAGTCTGTCTCCAAAGTGATCTGACCCCCACCACACACACTTTTCTTACAGGTTAAAGGGTGCCTGGTTGACACATTAACTTCTGTGACACACCGCACACACAAACACACATTTTTGACCTATATTTTCATTTCTCTAACTGCTAATATACTTGAGACCAGATGAGATATTTTACCGTCTCCTGTAAATCATTGAATATGTTGCACTTCTTTATCCTTTTTCCTACTGGCACTTTTTTGTACTACATACATATAATTAACATTTTTTTTACAAGCTCTTACAGTATAAGTTCTCTTATATCCTAAAATGAGCCGAAGGAAACTTTTTACTGTACGTCAGCTATCCTTGCCTGCCATTAAAACATGGCTATTAAATAGAGTCATTAGCTTCTAAAGGGTGTTGGATTCTGGTCAATTTGCATATACATTAAAGTCAAATTTACAATTGTTTTTATTTTTCCATCAAATCTCTGTTTAATATTTCTAACTCTTTATTTAAAAATACACAATGCTGGATGTATGCACACACAAATCTCAATCTAAAAACCAAAAGAAAAGAAAACCCACTAAATA